AGTAAAATTGATCATTGTTTTACTTAACAATTCATTTTTTTCTCACTTTCTTCTGCTGAAGTCATATAATACTGAGTTCCTAATGATTCTTAAAATTAGTAATTTTGAAAACATACACTGCAAAAATAATAGCAAATTCCACCAACTATTGTATGTGGAAAATGGATGACAAATATTGAATTGTCTTCTGATTTGAATATTTTTTTCAGAGTGAAGTCTGCAAAAATAGCAATTTTCCTAAAGCTATCAAGCAAGTTTCTAATATGATCTGAATTTGAGATTTCACAGTTCCCACTTACAGTAAAAGTTAAAATGCTCAGAAAAAAGTTGCACCAATATTATTTGCTTATTCTGTAGTCTGGAATCCTTGACTATACACTCCTATTGAAGTATAAATTGTAGTCAATTCCACTGGAGTGGACTTATTTCTTTGTAACATTTAGTCAGATTCTTTAGCTTTAAGAAAGAGAATTTCACAGAATTTTAAGTCTTCAAATGACATAGTGCAATTCATTGGGAAACAGATAAAGTGCACCAAATATCATTCTTTTTTATGTTTCCTTTGTATTACATTCATACAATTATGAATGTAAGTCAGCATACAATGTTGTCTCAAAATTTTCAAAGGAATTTGTCTCTCAAAACCCAAATTTCCAACTGCCTTTAGATTATCTGTACGATTGGCTTTAAAACATGGAACCTATTTTATAGGCTTATGTCATTAAATGTGCTAAATTTTAGCATTAAGTGTAGTTTTAATTCAGCTTCCATTCAAGGGTGAGCAATCTAAATGTCTAATGGAAGAACTGCAGTTTTATAGATCATAAAAGACACTGTGGTTTCTACTTTTTTAATGGTTAGGAATTTATCACCATGCTTGTATCACAGAGGAAGCCACAGCTGTTTCATCTAACTTCAAAACATGCTATCCATTAAGCATATTAAATTGTCTAAAACACAGGAGAGCCAATCAACTCCTCAATGCAGAAAGCTGACCTTGATTTTAGTCTTACCAATATACAATCTGCATGTTTTTGCTATAGATCAGGAAGGGAAGAATTAATCTGTTTCAAAGAACTCTACAGGTAGTCCTCCATTTATGATGGCAATTGTGCCCATAACTTTTGTTACTAAGTGAATTGTAAAATTAATTTTGCCCCATTTTATGACTTTTTTGCCACAATTGTTAGGTGAGTCACTGCAGTTCTTATATTAATAACATGGTTATTAGGTCGCAAAAGGTGGTCACATGTTCTTGGTATATTGCAATTGTCATAAATATGAGTTAATTACCAAGCATCTGAATTTTGATCATGTGACCAGAGATGCTGCAATGGTCTCAAGTGTGAAAAATGGTCATAAATCATTTTTTTCAGTGATGTCAATTTGAATGGTCACTAAATGACTACTGTAATGAGGCAGAAGATTTCAAATATTATTAGGCATTCCCTTTGGAAAGAACAACTTCATATTTCAATACTGGTAAACTGAAGAGTAGAAATACAGATTTATAAAATTACCTGTAATGAATAAATTAAACCTGCATGCATTTGCCATTATCTGTCGGGTGAAACTGTTGAAAACAAGGCTGGCTATTTGATGATTGTCTGAGCAAGATTTTAATTAATTCTTATTTTTGTTAGTTTTTTTATTCATTTTTTTTATTTTTTACAATTTGTTCTGCATTAAACTATTCCCATTCATGATTGCAGTTATTCGCTATTGACACTAACATATGAGAAATGCCTCAAATATCTTTGTCCCACCACCACAATGTTGATCTGCAACGGATTATTGGTGGTAGTTTAATTTTTTCAATTTATATAGTTGTCCATTTCATTGTCATCTCTATGCAGCCAATAGTTAAAAACACAATGTAACAAAAAAGGCCCACAAAATTGGCAGCTGAGATAAAACCAAAACCAATCACTAATATAACCATCTTTCATACATTACAATCCCAATTGCCTGGTTTCATAGCCAAGTCTAAAAAAGTCTAAGTATTTTTGAGACCAATGCAATCTCCCGGGGTATGATGTTCTAAGCTAAGGAGTAGGCGCTGCAACAGAAAAGGCTCTTTTTCTCAGTTTAACCCTAACAACAGCAATTTTAAATTCCTGGAATCACCCGGAAAATACCTTTTTTAGTTGCTGATTTCTGACTGGAAATTAGTAAAACAGTAATGTCTAGTTCATTAATGTTCTAATTTAAACTTTCTTTAAGGAAAACAAAAAATATGCAGCAAAGTGGCAATATGATCACAGAAAGATCCAGTGCACCTATGTGTAACTATACAATTCTGGAAGAACGCACAATCTGACAATCCAGTTTTATGTCCTGTTTTAATTTTTCCTAAACAGCTACATATCTGTTTATGAATTCTATCGTTCTGTATCTTATTGTAGAAACTAACCTAATTTAAATTATTGCAAATGTTTATATGTTGATATTATTTTACTAGAATTCCAGATAGCTTTCCTAGAAATAGGAATAGAACAAAAAAGAAAGTATATTTAAGTTCCATTACATGAAACTCCTTCTACAAAGAATGTTTAAGTCATAGTTGTGAAGCACCAGCCTTTGGAGACACTGCACATGTTCTCATCAACTGCAAATTGTACAAATCTCCAGAAAGGGTTGCTTATTTAGAACCTTATTTTAAAACTAAAAAATATTGGGGCATTTGGAAGAAACAATCATACTTATTGTAAGGAACAAACCTGCATTTCATCATTAAAATTGCACTCTTCCTTTCAAAGGCCATCTCCAAGAGGACAGAAGATCCTGATTTGACTGAAGTTAATTTAAGGAGTGACAATCTATTATTAAGTTTTGTTTTCTTTTTATCTATTTGTACCTTTGTATCAGTTTTATATATTTGATACAATCGACTTAATAAAGTTCTCTTCTTCTAATTCACTTTATATTATTTTATCTTTTATTTTTACTTTTTCTTACCTACTGTATTTTATTCTATTTTATCTCACCATAGTTATTTTATCTCACTTAACTGTCTGTATCTCATCTCATTTTATTGTATTTTACTGTGGCTGATACTCATGTTTGATATGGTCAATTGATTAATCTATTAAGTATATTGTATCATATCATGTTAATGAAGATATTTCTTTGCTTTTATAATATAAGCAGTTTCATCAATGAACTCCTCAATACTGCTTTCAGATCTGGACAATGTATTTTACTTTTTCAGCAATAAAATTTCAATAGAGCTAGAACTTCTTACAGATGGAGAAAGGATGGAAGCATTCTCTCGCTTTCAACTTCCAAAACTATATTTTTATGTTTCCTTGTGTAATCAAATTATTCAAAGTTTTAAGATTGGTATTTTGAATTATAAATGGTGAAATCAATATATGATGTTTACAGCAGCATAAACAAAACTTTCATTTACTGAAAACAAACAATGTTGTTTAAGATTAAAATTAGTCAAGCAGCTGCCCCCAAAGAAGAAAGTTGAATATTTTTTCTATATATCTATATCTATATCTAGGTTTATTCCACTATTAAATCATTGTAATTTCAATGGCATCAACAGCTTGATGACTTTTAAAGCCTCAGACTTTATGTAAGAAGAAAATAAAGGCAATGAGAATGATTTTTTACCATTTTTTTAGTTTAAACGTTGATACAGAATGTATAAATTGAACAGATGATTCTTCCTTGCTTATTCATACTGAGGAAACACTTAAAACTTTTGCTAGTATTCAAGACAAAAAATGTTTTCTAGTATTTAAGTGAAAATTTCAAGAGTAGAAAGTTGAATCATGGCAACGGAAACATTTCCTTGCTTATCTAAATAGCTTCTTTAGTTTGAAGAAGCGACTTGGAATAGCAGTGAAATGTTTCAAACAAAAAAGAAAAGAAGTCCAATTGCCATGACACGCCTTTCAGACAACTCTACCTGGATGACTGATAATCTTTATCGGCTCAAGAGTATTGTCAAGGAAAAAAGTAGTTACCCACATGAGAAGACTACAATAATATAAAGAAAGAAGTTTTGAGTTCCAGTTTAAAAAAATGTTCTACTGGGAGCATAGGGGAATAGGAATTTTACATGAACTAAACTACCTATTTAAAGGAATCAGGTTTTCTAATATATTATTCATGTATATACCAATCTATTCTGTTCATTACATTAAATTTGGTTAAAAACTTGATATTGATATTCCTTAAACAGCTTTTGATTTTAATCAAAAGAGGAAAGTTTTTTCCTGATAAATTGCAATATTATAAATCTGCTGAAACAAAACAGAATTTCCTGTGACCCCTTTATACTATTTTAACTTGCGAGAAATCACTATTCAAACTTTGTTTAGCTAAATCAAAAATTCATTTACTGTATCCTAAGTAAACAATCTATATACAAATTTAGTTTCATAATTAATAAAATATATTCCTATTTATATAAAAAATAACAATTTAGGTTATATAGAAACAAGTGAGATTGGGAGGAAGGGAATTCAGAATTTTAGAATTTAAAAATTTTCATTTAAGTGTAACAAAGTGCTAAAAAATGCTAGCCAAGCATGTACACTGGGAAACTTTAGAGTGCAAAACCTATCATCTGAAATGTGGACAAGTATTGTTTTCAGGAAATTCTCGTTACAAGGGTTCATCCATGTCAACAAGTTTGAATTACAAGTTGTAGTATTTTAGATTTTATAACCCAAGTAAATCAATAGTACCTAGCTTTTAATACTTATATTGTTGGGGTCATAATGAACAAATGTGTTGTAATCTTTCTGTTTTTTAGTTTTTTTTTTCTAGCTAAATCCATTCCATTTGCAACTTAAAACATGAGAATAAATTAAAAAGAAACCTAAATTAAAAAAATTAAATATTTTGAGTTCTATTTGAAACTGATAAAAATAAAAAGCTTATATTCTACTTGCTGATTCAGTTTCAAATAATCGAGCTATTAATTATAACTTATTTTATACACTCTCAAATTTAAACTTCAGCTGGTAACAAAGACGGAATTCATTTGAAAGGCATTTATTATGCTTTTTCACTGAAGTACATAGAACATTGTTGCATACAAAACTATTCCTTGAATACAAACTACATAACCAAAAGTCCTAGTTATATCCAAATTTCAAAATCCAGGTAAGTGCCTATTCTGAAAGTAAGAGAAAAACTACATTCCCATTCACAATTGGTTGAACTTGTTTCTTAAATAAACCTGCATAGGACTGTATTGATAGCCTTACTTTTCCTGGAAATAAATTGGGACAACACTTAACTGTTCTCAAATCCATGCAAGTAACTTGATTAGACTGATCCACTTTCTGTCTTAAAAATTGCAACTCTACAGGTATATGCTCTACTGAACTCAATAGATTTTGCTTCTAACTAAATATGGTTAGAACTTCAGTATTTTGCAGTAACATTAGCAAATTATGCAACAATAAATTATTGTATCTCAATTTATCTGACTCCTATTATTTATTAAATAATGCAACAGTATCTTAAAATGTTAGTGATCTTTTGTTGAGTTATTCTTGACCTAATTGAACAGAATGTTTTGAAAAAGAATTAAAATATCATATATTCCCAAAAGACTTAAAATATTTTCTGAAAGCTGTCACTTACCCACCAAGTCAAAAAAAATTTCTAACAACTTAATTCCAGTCAGCTATTAAGCATTCACATTGTGAAGTCCTGATCTTCTTTTGACAGCACATTTCACTGAAGAGGAGATATTTTTAACCAAATCTTCACAGGATTCTTCCACATAACTAAAACCCTAAAAATATTTAAAATTCATCAGACAATGAAATTTACTCATTATATCAGAAATGGCAAAGGAATGTGGTTCTTAAGGATAGTGGGGAACAGATTCACTTCAATGGGATTATCAATTAAATATCTCCCTCATTTGGAAACCAAATAATTCACATACAATTCACATTGACTTTATTCAAGTACAAAACAAAATTATGTTTAATTTGCAAACATTTGTATTGTCTGCACCAGCCAAAAAAATAGTTAATTTACAAATTTCCATAAAAAACCCACACATTTCAACAGATATTCTAAATAAAATGCTAGTAATGTACATATTATCCACCTATCTCAATGTTATGAGTTTTAAAATATTTATAAATGATTTCATAATAAACTTATTCATTACAAATAACATTCACAAATTATGTTTTCGTTTCTTCTGCAGCTTCATAACATGAATTTGTTTTTATTGTGATCACTTGTTTCCAATATTTCAATATTTTGTTACATGCCTAAAGATCAAAACCCAAATTAATTATACACAATTTTAATTTACCATTTGGTATCCAAACTAAGTAAAACAGAGGTATCACAAAAAAAACCCCATGGATATTAATCCATTAAATAATCTTCTGTGTAAATACAAATCCTTGGGTAGACAGAACATCATTAAAAGTAGATTAATATTTCAGTACATAAAGTTTTAAAATAAATTTAATGTCTATATTTAATATAAAATTTCTGATGTGTTTTTTTGCTTAGACTCTTCCCAAAATAGCCTCTTTACATATCCCAAAATAAAAATTAGATAAATATTCATAATCCAAGCGAATATGTTATGGCTAGAGAATAGATTATACACTTAGTTAATGCTTTATGTTTGTATTGATCCAACATTAACCTTAAGAATTGCCCAGGTTCTGTCTTTTTTTCCCTTCTGGCACATTTTCAGTATGCCTCTAAGAGGGCAGCAAAAACTTAACACAGGTGAAATACAGATGCAACCAGAGAGTTTCAGCTTCTCTCCTTGTAAAAGGTACAGAAACCTGGTAAAGAGATAACAGTACTGTACCTTCTTGGATCTATCACTAAATAAGCAGCTTGTAAATGTTCATTTGCACCATTTTACTGAAGATTACAAATGCATTTTAAATCCCACTTTCTCAATTTAAATAAAGTTTTCAGAACTTAACAACATATTTTAAATTATTTCTAGTCTTCAATTGTCTGTGAAAGTCGAATAAGTTTCGTTGAAATGTTTCTGAATCTTTAGTGATCTCATTCCCTTCCCCCATCATTAACATTTTCTTGAAGATTTTGCTATGAACTATTTTTTTTTAACTCTGGCACATTTTTAGATTCAGTTCTTTAAAAAGTGCACAAAATTCAAGCCTCATGGAACATTTCTGGTCTTTGTTTACATAGTATTCTTGATTACAAACACATTAACAGGCGGTTTGTCTCTGACGTTCGCGACGCAAGTATGATTTAGATAAATCATGATTTAGATAAATCATATTGAATGGTAGAGGACATTCCTTAACAAGATCTTTTTAGCGAGGTGCACGCTCCATTTTACTTAGTATTAAAGTCCTGATCTAAGAAAATGCCGAGAAAGACACAACTATAGGTTCGTGTAACACTGCAATCAACCCTGAAGCCCCGACAGAACCGCTCCTCCATCAGCCATCGAGAAGTGCGAAAACGACATTGCAGAAAACCCATAGGCTACAAACAACGTTTCCATCTTTCTTCCATCAATTCGTTCGTTCCCCTACCCACTTTACTTAAAAGGAGGAAGGAATAGATTTTGCCTTTATTAGCATAAACGGGGTAAGCATCTAAACTACCCTACAAACTATTACCCTGTGAAACAAAAGAAGTCCCAAGTATACAAAAGCACGACCGCGCGAGGCGAGACAAGCGAGTTTCGCGCCACAGCCAGAAAAGCACCAAAGACTGCCCCAAAAGCCCGTGAATGGAGAGAAGCGGGAGCGAATCAGAGAGCTGCTGTCGCCAGCGCTACTGTGATTGAGCACTGCGATAGGTAGGCGCGTCGACCAATAGGACGCGTTCCTGTTACACATAAGCAAGAATCAGATCCTGGAGCTAACGTGCGGCTTACTACGATTACTACGGCCAATTCCCTGCAGCTCGCGTTGGCTGGTGAATTGCAACCGCGTGTTACGTGACGAGGTTGGCTGAGACCTTTCCCACCCCTTCATTTCCTTTTCTGGGGGTGGGGGGGCGGTGGGGCGGTGGTGTACTTCAGTATCAGTTAATGCTCAAACCAGAAAGTAAATCAATAAAACGGGAGGGGGAAAGAATATCTTATTTTTAATAACATGTCTTTTTTCAACCTTGACAAATTGGGGGCGCGCGAAGCCATACGGTTTGGTTTGCATTGAAGGCTTTCTCTAGTTTCCTTAGAGTAAGCTACGGGGCCCCTTACTTTTAAATAGACCCGCGTAGGATTATGCTTTGTGATATCAACACCGAATAAAGAACGGATGTTCACATCTGATTCAGCAGCGGATACTTTTGACCCGATTAAATGTATCCATGACCTGCTATGGGAAGTTATAGTTATGCTAAATTCAGGCTGGAGGCGGAGAGGAAAATAAGGGGAGGGAAAGCAAAGCTGACCAATGACATTTTTTCCCAACACTTGGAGAGTTCTGCTTTAGGGTAAATCCCCCCACCCCACCCCCACCCCTGTAATTTCGGGAATCCATTTTCTCCTGTTTTCCTTGCTTATCTGAAATGTGGGGCTTTTTAAATTCTATCTTTGCCCCAACAGTTACCTATAAACAGCTTTACCAGACTCTTAGAAGTAGCACAAATGATAGCTATATTAATATATTCATCCAAGGAGCTTAATTCTGTAAAAATAGATCAGAGTTCATTATAAATCTCAGTTCAAATAGAGATTTACCTTTTCCAATTGCAACAACAGTTACAGTATTTTGTGTGCCTACACCTCACAGTAAATCTTAGTGTAACTCAAAATTTCAGAATATTTTTAAACATTCTACCTCAGCTTCACTATTCTTTCAGAACTCGGATCCTTAAGAGAATTAAAAATTTAAAAATGTTAATTTAAAATGTGTAAGAATTGTATCAGTTTTAACATTAAACTTCATTAATTTCAAGTATAAACACAGATATATATGTATAAATATAAAAACTTGTAATTAGATTGTTAAAAAGTCAGAATGGAAAATTCTGGTATTGTTTTAAAGTAGTCATTCCATTGTAATTTCAATGACCATGTATTTTTCTCAACCGTGAACCTTTTAAAAGCAACTGAACATCACTTTAAAATGGTTATCTATAAACTAGCATTTTAATTGCAAATTGTTATCAAATATTTGAGATGTACCTTGTAATTTCTCATTTGAAAGAGCTAAGGGAACAATACATTTCTTAGAAATTGGATCTTTCATCATAAAATATTTATACTCTTACCATTTAATATGGTTAAAACCGATATTTTATATTTAAAAATACTTTCAATGAAAATTTAAGGTACTTATTTGATAGAAACTAATTCATGAGTCTTACCATGTTTGTTCATCAATTCAAAATTCTCTCAAATATTTCATAGAGTAGCTGATTTCATAAATGTCTTGATTATGTCTTGATGTCCTAAGTTTAGTTTCTTTTCAGTTAAGAAAATATTTTAACATAAAACATCTGAAACTGTTAATTTTTGTGTCATGTTTATAGAAACATAATTGCATATGTATTTTATAAATTGTTACTAAAATTACAACTTTGGAAATATGACAGTAAGTATTTTAACTTGCTTTAAAAATTCTTTTATTTAAAATATTAATTATAGAAAAATTAGCATTCATGAAGACGTCCGTTCACCTGATTATTTTATTGGAAGCTGATCTGACCTAGCAATTTATCTGTTAAAATACTTTTTCATACCTAAAAAAATTGTTCCAAAACAAAAAATAATTTTAATTAATATCTTAAAGCTGTTTATTAATGACAGTGCTAAAAGATAGCAATTTATGCATACCCATTTGCTTCTTAAACATGTTTCTGATACAAGTGCTATCAAAACTATGATGTATCAATTTTTTTTCAGTATTTATTCTATATTTGATTATTTTGACAAAAGCATATAGCAAAAGTGTTAACTAAAAAGTAGAGTATTTCTGCAGACTAAAAGTCAAATTGTTTACCTGCAAACATGACAATATATTACTATTTTTAGCTTATTTTCACAAAAAATTAGTGCAGGGATTCTCATTGTAAATTAAATCAAATGCTGAACCATTGTAATCTACCCATTATAACTACTTCCTCCAGCTATGCAGAATAAATGAACCCTTTCAACTAAAGGGAATTCTTAAAACCTACTGGATTCCTAGCTATGAAATACAGTGCTGGCTTTCATTTCCATATTCTGTCTTCATCTTCAGGCTTCATTTTGTTTGCCCTGGAACCAGGCTCCACACATTCGACTCCCCCCCACCACAAACCCACCATTGTACACTTACAAATGTTGAAAATTATGAATGGTTCCTTGAACCAAAGAGGGGAGGAGAATGGGGGTAGATGGATTCCTCTGTTCTATGGTAATTGCAGGGCTATGTGGTCCAATCACTCCCATTTTCTGAGCCAGAAATCACCATTACTAAATTTGAAATAATGGAGGAAGGAAACAGCTTGGGAAGGGGGAGACATCCAGAGGAGCACATTGTCCTCTCCCCCTGCTCACTCCCACTTTTTAATCACCCTCCAACTGGCCTCCACCCCTTTGTCCTCCGATTCATAATGTTGAGCTCTAGAATCGATGCAACGAACGCTCATCAAACTGCCAGAAACATTATTATGCAGGAAGGAAAGGGGTGGGTGGGAGCTGTTTCAAGGAGACGGTCGTTCCTCCTTCTCCCGCCCTCTGCGAGACCCCTTGGTCTTTGGCATGTAGCCAATTGCGAACAAGGCACTAGACAGCCACCAAACGCGAAATCCCGGGCAAAAGTGGTGGTAGCGCATCGTCCATGAATTTGTGTGGAAGGCCAGCTCTCAGATCAACGTTTTGCCCTTGTTATCCCATGGAGGTTCCTTAGGAGCTATAACAACTCACTCAGCAGGCCCAGGCACACTTTGGGGAACCCCAGCGATTGCGGGGAAGGCGAAGGGGTGGCCTTTGTGTCACATTTGGCCACCGCCTCCTGCTCTTCTGCCTTTTCCCTAGATTAAAGGTAGGGAGGAATTTCGCCTCTCTTGACCCTTTGTAGTTATAAGTTGTCCCGATCCAGGCGAGGGAGCTTCTGAGCCTCGAAAGGCAGAGAAACTTGGCATACAGGAGTTCGTATACACAGCAACTAAATCCGAAGGAGAAAGTAGAAAACAGGGGAAAGAGCACGCGGTCAGGAGTCCTAGTCGATCAAATCTCGCCCTTTAAAAAAAAAATTGCTCTGAACGGCCAAAGCTAGCTCGCTTTCTACTCCTTTGTGACTCCCTGATCTTAAATCTGCTGTTATCTAATTGAGGCGTTCGTATTCCTCACGTGAGAAGTTGATTGGTAGTATGAACACGTGGCTCATTCAAAAAGCCGGACTATTCAAGTGATTTTTTTTCTTTCCCCTCCTCCCCCCCTCTCTCTTTTTGGAAGAGGCGGTGCCTGCGCTCTCGTATTGTAACATTTTCATACTCCGCCTGCTGCTTGCAAGGGGGCTTGGGGGTAAGACAAAAAAGTAGTTTCCCCCCCCCTTTTCTCCTCCCTTTCCCTTTTTTTAAACCGCCATCGCAGTTCCGAACGCATCGTGATTTCTTCGGGTAGCTCAGCGAACGTTCAGTATTTGGTCACAGGCTTTTTTTTTTTTTTTACTCTGAAGCGGGAGGGAGGGGTGGGTGGGAGACGGACGTATACAAGCTGCAGTTATAAGTCGTCTTTCTTTCTCTCTCTCTCTCTCTTTTTATTTTTTTGCACCCGCCCTCTCTTATTTTGATTCCAAGAATCATTTGAGGGGGTGTGTTTTTTTGTTGTTGCTTCAAGTCAGCCTGTGCATGTTTTCTTTAATTGTCGTTAAGCAAAGGTCTATTTTTCACTAAGAAGATGAACAAGCTGTACATCGGGAACCTGGGCGAAAACGTGTGCCCTATGGACCTGGAAAGTATCTTTAAAGAGTCCAAGATTCCTTTCACCGGTCAGTTTCTTGTGAAGACGGGATATGCTTTTGTGGACTGCCCCGACGAGAATTGGGCTATGAAGGCCATCGAAGCACTTTCAGGTGGGTGAAGTCCTCTCAGCCATCCCAGTCTTAGCTTCCTATTACCCCGTACGCTCAATTCAGGGCGCCATCCGCTGCCTTCCTCTGCTCCAATAAACCCCCCGGTAAGAATTCTCTCTGCCCCACCCCTCTGCGTATTGCCCTCGTCATTTTGATTTAAAATTCCTACTCCCGGATTATAATCCCTCGATCCGGTCCGAAGGCTCTTCCTGACGGGTTTATTTCGGTGCGGGGTTCGGGTATATTAGGCTACTTCCTTGCAGCCCTCGGGCACTCTTGTCAGGTAACGCGGGAATGGCTGGGGTTCAAGCCGTTTCTTTCGAGGGGAAAAAAACCATTGCGAACAGAAATTACAAGACCGCTGGGCTCCGAGAATTTGCTGCTGTTTCTCTCTCTCTCTCTTACCCCCCCCTCCACTTTAAAAAAACAACCTCTTAAAATGTGTTCGAGAAAACGGCGTGTTGGAGAGGGAGGGAAGACGCGCTAAACGTCGCCCACAGTAGTAGAAAAGGGAGGCGCGCGCGCAGAAACACACAAGCCAGGGCCCAACTAGCAGCCACCTAATTCGTGGCGCAGGGACTCCCTCTCGGTCTAAACGCTCGCGCACGGAATACCGCGGCAGAGAGATGTAAGTTTCCAGTTGTCTTTGGGGCAGGTGGAAATGGAAACACGAGCCTTTCCATGGAGGCAACGTGCGGCACCTTAGGCTTTGCTGGAAGCGCAAAGCGTTGCGCGCCGGAGATTCTCGCTGGCTTTTCTAAATTACGCTCCCCCCCCCCATATATTTATTCCGAATTTGTGAGGGAAGAGTTGCCGAGTGTGGGGCTGTTGATTCCTTCTCACATTAAAAGCCAAACTTTGGCTGTTTAAAACAAAAACAACAAAGGGCTGCTCCTCCTCCTCGGCGTCCTGCCTCTTTCGGGAGAGAGGTCGAGGCCTGAAAGCCCAATTCGCCGATGCTTCTGGGTGTCATTTCGGTTTTCCTTTGGCTCTCAGGCATTTACTGAGCATCTCGACCTCTCAGTTTCTACATCCTGTTTTTGTGTGAAAGACGACTTGGCGGGCTGCACCGGCGGAGGCTGGTTAAACTGAATGATTTCATTTGAGTGCTGTTTTCGCTCTCCTCCACCTCTGAGCTGGGGGAGGGGGGGAACCTTGTCTCAGCCGGTGACTGTGGGAGTAGGCATATGAAAGAAGACATGAGAGGGTGTATTTCCAGGAAAAAACGCGTGGGGAGCACGCTCATTTTTCACTGAAACCAGCAGTTCCTGTTTCCTCGTGACAAGTTATTAGAGGCCTGTTCTTTTCATCAAGGGAGACATACATATGTATATGTCTTTGTGCAGTTAACATTTCCACGTATTTTGGAAAGCATAGGTTAAATAATAAGCATCCACTTTAAATTAGAAAACACTCTTAATACTAGTTTGAGCATTTATCTTGGAAATTGGTCTCTTCTAAAGTTACCTTTGTGACTTTTCCACCATCCTACAACATTTTTAAAACACATAAGTGAGTTGTATTTGTGGTGTTCTGCATCATTACATATTCAGTTCAGGAGGGCATTAGAAGATCTGAAGGAGTGGGAGAGCACGTAATTCATTCTATAATGAGTTGTGTTACTGTTTGCAGGTAAAGTGGAGCTGCATGGTAAACTCCTAGAAGTTGAACATTCAGTTCCCAAAAGACAAAGGTATTTTATTACATACGCATAATAGTTTAATGTCTACATTGAAAAGTTCATTATTTTAAGAGATTGAGAAAGTACTTTAATCTGAAATTAGTAATTATATTTAAGGGGTAGCTGTCAAGAGAGTTGTGATTGTAGAGAAATTTGTTACAATTTATAATAAAGTTTAAATATTAAAAAATTTTGTAATGCAATTAATTTAAAAGAAAAAAAATTAACATTAAGAATTAGCATGTTGAAATTTAAAAAGATAAATGAGGTCTGACATCTTTCAAGTTGGTGGTCTGAAATTGGAGAGGATACTGTTACTTTGTAAAAGGGCCACCATGTTGAAGTTGAAGTATTTTCTCATCAAAACATATTCTTATATTGGAGAGAGCGGTTAAAGTTTTTATGGCAATACATGCTTATACGTAATTAGCCTTTTCTGAACTTGGTGAAGGGAGCAGTTAGCAGTACAATTTTTATGGAGTTGATACATTTGAATCTACCTATTAGAGCAACTTAACCGTGGGAGACGTACATCCATTTTCAGTTCCTGAATGATCAGGATTATAAAGTATTCTCAGTTTTTAAAGAACACAAATTTAGCATGTTTGTTGTTATTAGGATTTGAAACCTAGTTATGAATATTAACTAAATGAAAAAAAAATTAAAAAAATATTTTTAAAATATTTTTAAAATATTTGAAATCTATAAATTAGATTATCTTATATTGACAATTAAAATATATAAAAGTTATTTAAAGAATTTTAGTTGGAAATGTAAGGGCTAGGTAGTTGGCAGAATACCAGTGTCATTTGCCATACCTGTTGTGTGTTAAATCTACTGGTATTTATTTTGTTTATGCTTACTGAATACTTCTGCACTCACATTTCATTTGCAAACTCACTAGTGATATCCATTATGTGTAGGCTTATTTAAAAGTTCATTAAAAATTAAGAACTAGTTCCCAAGTATACACTATAGATTTGAAAATATATACCATAAATACATTTCTTAAGATACACATTTCAAATTGGTATCATGCAATATAGTACAATAGCCAATATTAACATTATCATACTTTATAAAATGAGAAACTATAATGAGTTTATAATACATTTTTATTACTGTCAAGCAGTACCAAATGCTAAAATGTTGAACATTTCTTTGATACATTTTCACTTTTTCTTCATTGTGTTATTGCTTTGAACCTGAGTATGCAGAAAAAGTATACCAAGCATCTAATTGAAAAATATCTGCAAATACCTTTATTTTATTTGCAAATTCAACTGCTTTGCATGGGAGAGATTTTTGCTAAAATTATTTAAAATGCCATCAGTGATTAACATACTTTTGAAAACATGATTTAAATGTTCAATATAGAATGCATATGTAAAATATCTGATATGAAGGCCAGATTTAAAAAAAAAACGCTATAGCTCTATGCACATTTGGAAATAATGTTGAACCCAGGAAGACTTCCCAATGAAATAATGTAAACAATTTACAACAATGTGTTTGGTTGTAAATAATATTGTTTATTGTTACCACTTAAAAAGTGTACAGTCCTCTTTAAGTAAGAAACTAACATTCTCTGAGAAGAAATATTTTTCATTGTTTGCTAATAGCTTTTCTTTTATAACTTTTTAAAAGTTCTTTGTATAAAGATCTGTATAAATAATTGAATATCCTTAAGGCAAAATATATGTTTAATTGATATTTTAGAAATTTTAAGTTAGCTAAATTTATTACTAAAATAGTAATAAAAATGTATTATAAACTCTCCCTTTCTTTTTCCACTTCTGTTTCTTAGTAGAAAATGTATACAATTGGTACCAATTGATTGGAGAATGACCTGATTGGTTAAATATTTCAGTTGGTCATTTGACAACTACATATTAAGAAAAATAGAAACATACAAAAATTGTATTAAAACAAGTATTTTTTGGTGAGATAAAAATTCTGAACAATTTAGTGATATGTCTATTTCCATATAATTATTGTAGTTTATGTTCCAGGTATTTCTCTTTCACTTAGTTTGGTGAGACCAAAGGTATATTATTAATCCATGTATTCGCATATTAATGGTTTCAGTATTGTTATAAATATAAATTATATTTGTAGGGCCAGTTATTATAAGAAGTACATCTTTTTTTATGGAAAAAGAGTTTCAAGAACTCATTGCATTCCAGCAGTTTGAGCTCCTAAATTAAAAGATGTTGCATCCATATTTACAGAATTAACTTTTATAACTTCTATGAAAAGCAGTATAGAACTTTAATGTTCTTGAATGCTCTTTGAAATCCTCAGATAGGCAAATGGTAAATTTTGTGGGGTGAGAGTAGGAGTGGTTGGGATATACCAAATAGACTAAAAGAGGAAACAGGAGAAGAACAAAGTATTTATAATATAGTTATATTAAGAAAGTGATTTCTGATTTACTAGGAAACCTCAAGGGAACACAGGAATATAATATTTTGGTATTCACAACTTCATGAATAATAGAAAATACCTTACTATATTATGGAATTTTAAGTTACTTCATTCAGAACTTGGAAATGACATTGTAACAGTGCTGCTATTTAGTCACATGTTTGAAAAGAATGTGGAGTATTCTTAGCTATGATTTTCACTTCCCACAAAAGGGAAAAACTATATAAAACAAGTTCATGCATGCATATTGGAAATCTTTGTATGCATGCCTTTTAGATAGTATTTAGTTTGCTTCAGCAGCTGTTACTTTGTTGGGTGATACACATACCAGGGACTAATTATTCAAATAACATTGGTATCATCTGGATTGTATAGCTTTAGAGTGGAACCTAATTCTTGTGGGCTAGGGCTACATTATATTGAGTTAGTCCTTGAGGAGTATAAATATTATTTAATCCTTGCAAATTTCACAGGTATGACATTTATCCCTAAAATTAGAATCATCTTGAAAGTACTACTGTTATTTTGAGGGAGAGATGCTAATCTACTTTACAGCATGTGTTTCTGTGTGTGTTTGGGGATGGTGGTATATGTGTGTTACTATCCTAACCATGTACCTTTAGTTTGTAACAGATGATTAGAAGTGAAACAAATACGCTCAGCAATTTTTTTGTCTCCAAGCTCATGTATAGCAGTGCCTGGTGACATATTATGAACTGTTCCTGCACATTAAAACAAACATATAAAAAAACTTCTAATTCTTATAGTTCAGGTACCAAGGTTAAGTCTTCCTTTTCTTTATCTCAACATTTTATAAACACTGCCACCCAAATTCCCAATTTTGACTAGTGCTCATAAAATGAGAAGCTTTGTAATTTAGGGAGTTGGAAAAGGGAGATGGCTGAAGAGATGAGACTGTTGACCTCTTAATTTAATTTTTTTTCATAGTAATTATGTCAAGTGTTTTATAGTCCAAGAACAGTTATGAGGAAAAAAAATATCTGTCTTCATCTGTCATTCCATTTGGTAACATTTGTATGACAAACATACATTTGGTGAAAAAACAAAGCAACTTTAGTACTTGTACAAACTACTTGAAGAATATACATAGACCACAGATTGCCATACATATACTGTATTCAGATCAGATTTCTGCACAAAATGTGGTATTTTCTGGTTTACTGAATAATTAAACAATTTAAACTAATAATTTTTTAAAAATATATGGGTGAGAAAAATAAAATCTGATTGATATTTTAAAATGTTCTTAGGAAATCAAGTTCTATGAAAGGGATTAAAGGTTTTGAGTAATCTTCCCATATTGTCTTTCATATTAGCATTTATGTTCTATAGTCGATATCCAAATCATTGTATTAAAAAGTCCAAAAATATGTCTAAAAGAAATAGCACTACCCAACTGACTGTGGATAATCTCAACATTTTGTTGCTTCTGATTAGTACATGGAGAGAAATTGTCAGGGAATTCCAGGATGGTTAACTGGACTGGAATTGGAAGAAAGTAACAGTAAATTACTTTGATAACACAGCCAAGAAAACTGCAAAATGCAGTTACTAGTTTCAAGAGCATCTTTATCTTTTACTTTATAAGCATAACCGGGTTTTACAAAATACAAACAATTAAAAATACTGGTATGTTTTCATAGAAATACAGTAGAATAGATTTTGACATAGATTATATGCAATATACTTGGAAAATTAATCAGTAGTATCTGTGTATGTTGATACAAAGTTTAAAGATTGGCTTGTAAGTATACTTAGAAGGAAAAGGAAGTTAACATTCATCCCATACTTCCTATAATGAAACAAAGACAAATATAGCTGAACTAGTTCTACCATTAGTACAGTCGCTGCTCTTTTGACCTCTAAATTAGTTATATCCTGTAAAACAGAATGATTTTCTATTTAGGTCGGTTGTACCATAAACTGTAAGCTTGCTGTTCTTACGGTAATAATTGTTTATCCTGTAGAATGCCATCCCTGAGCAATAAAAAAAAAACATAATTGTACACATAATTCCCTTAATTTTCTTATTCTAACATTTTGAAAAAAAGTGAATCTAAAATAAAATCTGCTTTTAATGCAAGTATTCCTTAAAACAGGCTGTTTTTACTAATGTGAAGTTTTTATTAATATGAAGTTTTTAAATATTAACTCAATTTTGTAAATTAACCTTAAGAACTGGTTATAGTACACTGCCCTCTTTAATACTAGTAGATTACAGAGGTAATCCAGGAGGTTTCTAGTATACTTACTTGATTCTGCATTGTAACTATGAACAGAAATGTGGAGAAAGAAGTCAGTCAGGCTTTGGTTGTATGTGTGTATTAATGTTGTAAAAGGATTTACCCCTGGATGTGCATTTGTGCGTCTTCTAGTCTGAGGAAACAGACATAATAGTTCTCACAATAATACTAAATTTCACTAGTGGGGTTAATTTAGCAGAATGGCCAGTTTTTATCTATTAAAATATTTTTAAATATATTCAAACCAATTCATGTAACAATATTTAAAAACTCAGTGATGCAATACAGCATCATGGGAATTGCCACAGAAAAATGACAATG